GGGGCTGGCGCGCCTCTTGCGTCTGCACGGCGCGGGCAGCGGGCTCTTGCGTCTGCACGGGTCTTGCGTCGCCGAGTCAGCCGGCCGGTCGGCGGCGTCGGCTGCGGCGGGCAGAGCCGGCGGACTGCGCGGACCGCTGACCGCCGGCCGGAGACCAGCCGCGCGGACCAGCTCCTGCGGTCCCAGCGGCGGCGGCCGCGGTCCGTCGGCGCGGTCCGTCGGCGGTGGCCGGGCACCGGCAGTGGTGCAGGGCGAGGGGCGCGGGGTGCCAGCGGGAGCGCGCGATCCGGCGCCGAGATAGCCGGCCGCAGTGACGGCTGGCGGCGGCGTGCTGGCACGAGATGGCCGCCTCACGCGCCGGCCCAGATCCGCATTCTCGCACGGCAGGGCACGGCTCCCGGGCGGCCGAGCCCGGCCCGGTACGGCTCCCGGGCGGCCGAGCCCGGCCCGGTACGGCTCTCGGGCGGCTGAGGCCCGGCCCGGTACGGCTCCTGGGCGGCCGAGCCCGGCCCAGTTCGGCTCCCGGGCGGCTGATCCCGGCCCGGTACGGCTCCCGGGCGGCTGAGCCCGGCCCGGTTCGGCTCCCGGGCGGCCGAGCCCGGCTCAGTTCGGCTCCCGGGAGGCCGAGCCCGGCTCAGTTCGGTTCCCGAGCGGTCGAGCCCGGCCCAGTTCGGTTTCCGAGCGGTCGAGCCCGGCCCAGTACGGCTCCCGGGCGGCCGAGCCCGGCTCAGTTCGGTTCCCGAGCGGTCGAGCCCGGGCCGGCACGGCTCCTGGGCGGCCGAGCTCGGTCAGGCACTGCCGCTCCGGCGGCTCTCCAGGGCAGAGCTGTCTTGTACGACACTTGGCCATCGTCTCCTCAGTCCAGAAAAGTGCGGCATCAAGCTACCTATGAATACCATTCCATTTGGGTGCCCCAACACGGTTTGGAGCGCGCTGAAGTCGTCTTGACAAAACATACCATGTCGCTGTGACGTACGTAGAAACTGAGAATGAGCTCTAGTCTTGCTATTAAAACGGCTAATAAAAAGAAACTAGAATTTTCATTACGTGATATTTGCAACTTCTTTCCGTGAGACCTCAACGACTTTGCCCTTTCGTGTAAGAAATGATCATATGCCACTCATTAGCTTTAGTCGGTGCCAGAGATTAAGCTGCGAATGAGTCAAAAAGTAATTTGTTCACCTTTCAGCACATTCGTTCGAAGCACTTCATTTTACCCATGTCCAAGCCCACTGGGGTAATTTCGCCGCGTTATCGCGCCATCCCGCTGTCCGTCCGGACGCATCCATCACGTCCCATTCATTGCGCATGTCAGGGTGACCGAGGACGCTTCATGGTGCCTGCCCCGCCAGGTAGGGGCCGCGGGCGACACGGGGCGTGTCCGAGCGATGATGCCCCGCTGCGGCCGGCGCCCCTCCGACGCCGCTGACGGACAGGCTGGCCGGCCGTCGCCGGGGCCCCATCATTACCGGCGCGCCGCAGTGAGAGTGTCGGCCCGGCCGGCGTCACCGCGAGTCAACCGACCCCGCCCCGCCGGCCGGCCCTTTAACGGCACGGACGGCAGTGATAGGCTCTCGGAGCCGCTGTGCCCGTTCGTTTCCGGCTCCGTGTTTTGGGGTGTCACGGACGCGTGCGAACGCACGGTGCGCCGCGCTCCCACACTGTTCACAGCTGTGATTCATCGGTGATTCTTCGGGACACGGTCCGTTTCTGACACGGTGTGCGCTGCTTTGCGGCGCGATGGAATCCAATCGTTTCTTAGTGGACTTGTAGTTCAATAGCTCATGCGGCGCAATTTCGAGCACCCTATTTTGGCTTCAGGCCCTCTTTCCTCAATGATTCCGTACGATATGCGTTGCGTTGCGGGAGGCAGAGCTGTCGCTTTACTGTCGTCACGTTTTGATCGCTGCTGAGTATCGGCAAGGGGCCTCTTGTTTGGTCGTTCAACTCGCTTCCTCGATTGTCTCGCTCTTTAGCTTGCTTGTTTTTGTCAGGAAAGAGTTGTAGTTCCACTTGGACGCCCTCCTGTCTCCCCTTTTCCCTATCCTCCATCCTCTATCTCCCCCTCCGCAACTCCCTCTCCCTCCCCTCACTCCTGCATCCTTTCGTCGTTCCATCTCCGTCGTTCCGTCCTGCGTCTCTGCCTGCTCCGCTGCCCTCCGCCGTCCCGCGCCCGCCGCCGTCGCTCGCCGTCGCCGCCGTCGCCGCCGTCGCTCGCCGCCGTCGCCGCCGTCCCGCACCCGTCGCCGTCGCTCTCCGCCGTCGCCGCCGTCGCTTGTTCTGCCGTCGCCGCCGTCGCTCGCCGCCGTCGCTCGCTCCGCCGTCGCCGCCGTCGCTCAGCTAATTGCACGCCCGCTGTCCATTTGCGCGACGCGTCGGCCGACCGGCGGGTCCGTGTCTGTGTTTGCTCTCCAAGCACCGCGTGTTTATTTGGGTTGGCATTAGCGGGCGGTAAGTAGCAACACGGCGCGGCGGCGGCGGCGGGCGCGCCGTCCGCCGCAGCGCGCCGTAATCGTGATTAGATTGCAGCGCTTCCAGATTACGAAAACTTTGCAGATTCGCCGGGCTGATTTGCATGCTGAGGGTAGCTTAGTTAATGCGGTGTCATCAGTTAATTTGGATGTCAGATCGGGAGGCGTCGATGTTTGACGACGAGCCGTATAAATTATCCGCGCCTGTTATCATGTGGGGAGAAACAGTTGCCCTGATGTAGTCGGCAAACTTACCTGCGAACATGCTGTTGATGGGGTTGGATATTAGCCATGAATGGCTTCTAATTGCGTATGGTGGCAAATGGCCGTTACTTGCGATGAAGTCAGTTGGGTACAGGAACCAACACCAGGTTCACAAAATGGCATTATAGCTTTTCCAGACCCTCCTTCAAAATAAAAGTCAGATGAAAATTATAACACACTTGTGCTTGTAGCTCGTTTTTGATCGCGTTTTCTTAGATATTGCTTCTCTATTAGCCCTATAATGAACACCAAGTGTGCATCCCTTTTTAGCTTACTGACAGTGCCGGGAAATGTAGGGAGATTGCAAACAATCTCTTTCAGACCATCGAAACACGATGACATTGCTCATTTCACTGCCTTGAACTCACAAACGCTGGACCCTGTTTATGTGGGTGTTCATGGCGCGCCGCAGTTGGACCCGCGCCACACGCCCAAGTGCCAAACGCTGTCCAGGGGGTTAGCATAATCTTGGTTGTAAACAAGACTACTTGCTGGTGCAAACTGACGCAAAAAGTCGCAGTTTGGCAACGTTGGGCTCATTTATTCGTGAAGGATAACAATATTGTAGCGGAAAACTGTTCGCTACCTCGGCTAATCTCAGCTATATTTTCTTGCAACACGGTGGCCCTCGCGTCATTTCAGAACGCGATTGGCTGTGATATTTGGAGTGTAAGATTAATTTAAAGTCCATGTTGTTTGACGGATCAAATAGCAGCTGGGCTCCCAGCCAAGTAACGTACATCCACGTACTCGAATTACAACTTGTATCGAGAGGCTTCGCTTGCACTAAACTAAAGAACCGGTACCTGACATTGAAACCAGGGTTTTCTTGCTGCCAAGGGCCGTGGCGAAGGCTTCCAGTCCTCGCGGATCAAGCACTTCCAGCTAACACAAAGCGACCGTATCAGAGCGATCAATAAACACTGAGCTTTCCTTGCGTTACCAGTTGCTCCGCCGTTAATAAGTCAACGGTCATCGACCGAGCGCGCTGCTTGTCGACGCATGCCACAACAGAGTCACTCCGACTCAGACCCGGAGCGCCTGCAGCTGCGGGCGTCTCCCTCAGCCGATGAGCGCTGCTGCGGACGGCGTCTCTCGAGCTCCCGTGCTGCCGGCCCGGCCGCTGCTCGCCGCCGGTGCCGCTGCTGGCGGATGAGACCGCCCGCCGCCGGACCGCGGACCGACCGGGCCGGATCACGACGCGTCGCGCCGGCCGCTATTGATCCCGGCTGTGCTCGCCGCCCACACCACCCGCTCGATCGTCGACGGCGGGTCGCGTCGGTCGCGACGCGGCGCCACAATGGCGGACGGGCGCGCGCGCGCGCACGCTCAGTTCATCATTTTCCACGCCGTCGTGTCGTCCGTCAGGGTCGCATTGATGCCGGCGACGGCGTTGGTGCGCGTGTAATTGCTGCATTGTTGGCGGCGGGGGGCGCCGGCCGCGACCCGCCGGCCGCCGGGCCGGGTCGGGCCTCGTCTCTCTTTGTGGGCTGCCGCGGCCGCTCGCTCCGCCCCGGCCTGTTCCGCGCGGCCGCGCGCGCCGCCGCCTTTATGGCGCAATTCGCCGCGCCGCGCGGCACAATGGGAGCTGCGAGCTCGTGCGGCCATCTTGGCGCGCTGTTGTCGCCATGTTTACCGGCCCAGCTGCGCGGGATTACAAACTTTCCGCTCGATCGGTCGGCCCGCCGGCCGGCCGGCTGACCCCCCCCCCCTTTCTGACCCGGGTGCCGCGCGACGCGTCCGCGGGGCGGGGCGCTGTCCGCCCCCCCCCCTCCGCCAGAGCCGCGGCAATCAGATGGTGCGCGTCGCCCCCACCTGACGGCCCGTGGGACCGGCCCCGCCCGCGGCCCCGGCCGTCTCGCGCTTTGTTGCGAGCGGCCCGGCGCGGCATCCATCATCGCCGCCGCAATTTGTGTGCGCAACTAGCGGGTAATTGTCGCCGCGCGAGTGACAGGTCTTGGTGGGCGCGCGGACCGCCCGCTGCGGCCGCGGACCGCGCGCCGCCGCCGGGACGCGCCGCTATTTCTCGCCCGTTCGCAGGTAGCCCCGGAATCCACGCCCATTCACCGCCACCTGGCTGGAAGTAATGGAGTAATTATCGTTTCCGCGGCGGCAGCCGGCCGGCCGGCGGCGGCCGGGCGGCAGCGACGCCGTGGCCGCGGCCGATGCTGTGCCGCGGTGGCCGAGCCGGTCCGCCGGCGGCGCCGCCGCGCGGCCGGCCGCCGGCCGGTCCGCCGCCCGGCGTCTCCATTCAGCGGCGGTGACTTGGTGACGCAGGACGTGCCGTCAGTATGAGTCCGAACCGGCTGGGCCCCCAGGGCGAACTGGTGACGTGTGACCTGGCCTACGCGGACGTGAAGCGCGAGAGTGGCTACCGGGCGGTGACGAGGTGAGGACCCGGGCCGGTCGGGCCAGGTCAAGGTCAGGCCAGGTCGCTGGAGACCGGTCGCGCCATCGGGCCGTGATCGGGTGAAGCGATCGGAGGGGGTCAGGTCCAGGTCGGTGCAGGTCACGTTGCACGGCCGACCGGGGCGCCAGGCCTGCCCCTGAGGCCGCGACTTCGCGGGTGCTTGGTGGTCAGCGATAACATGATCTGTTGGTGGTGATTGGACTTTGATTTAGGGCTAGATAACGATAATTCATAGTTAATTCATATTTAGATTGGACTCGTGTTTGTTCGCTGCCGGCACTGCTGCTGAGCAGGCTAGCTCGGAGGTAGAACAATAGTATGCTGCGCGTCCTGGTCTCCAGCACGTTTAGGATCGGCATTACCGGCACCTCAGGCTGGGGTGGCTGCCTTGGTGTCGAGGCCCAGCCGGCATTACCGGCACCTCAGGCCGGGGCGGCTGCCTTGGTGCCGAGGCCCAGCCGGCATTACCGGCACCTCAGGCCGGGGCGGCTGCCTTGGTGCCGAGGCCCAGCCGGCATTACCGGCACCTCAGACTGGGGTGGCTGCCTTGGTGCCGAGGCCCAGCCGGCATTACCGGCACCTCAGACCGGGCCGGCTGCCTTGGTGCCGAGGCCCAGCCGGCATTACCGGCACCTCAGACCGGGCCGGCTGCCTTGTGCCGAGGCCCAGCCGGCATTACCGGCACCTCAGACCGGGCCGGCTGCCTTGGTGCCGAGGCCCAGCCGGCATTACCGGACCGCCCTGTGTGAGGTCAGGGTTACCATTGGCGAAGGCCGGCGGTGATTGAGGCAATCGTGTTGGCTTGTTGGGTCTTCATTGCGGGAGGCATCAGTTCGATCGGAATCTACGGCATTCTGTATCATGTTGTAGATACCGGAGCTTCGGTGTTGGGCTCATGTAGTCGGGCTCGCTCGGTTGGGTCGGCATTTCTGGCGCCTCTGCGCGAGACCTGGCGTTGGCGTTCGCCGTCCGAAAACATCCCGCCTGTATTGGCAGGTAATCTGCGACGCCCCCGGAATTAGTGGAGGTTTGCGGCAGGCGTAAGTCGTGACTCGAATGTTGCGATAGTACTGGAGCTGCAGTTGGCGAGCTTAGCGTCTGTTTAGAATCAGCCTACCTTGTTCGAACTATGATAATTGTTACCAGACTTCACGGAATTTTTCTTCGCCGACGTGACACGGAACCGACGGCGATGTTGCCGATTTATGGGCTCGTCGTGCGATGCCGAGATTGGGCTTTACAAGCGCTGTCAGTGGGCTTGCCCCCCTCCCCCCCTTTGCACGGCAGGTGACCTGCCGCTTGAAATCTTCTTGATCTGCGCACCGGCCGTCGCGCGGCTGGAATCTGTTCCCTATCAGCAATACCGGTTTCATTGCAGTGGACACCGACACCACTAATAGCCTTGAGCGCCCGTGAATTATGCAGCTGGGAGGATTCCACGCTCTGAATGGCGTCCGATCCATGTCAATCCGGTCAACAATGTTGTCAAACAGCATCTGAGTGTGGTCAATATTCCTGCCGCGCTACAATCCAATCTTCGAGCGTCCCATGCGAGACGGACGGGCCCGGCAACAATCGCGTCATCCACGCTCCACTGCAGCTATATTGGAATGACAGCTCGCAGGTGGAAACTAGTCTGCACTAGCAAAGCGCATCGCGGGTCTTCCTCGCAGCACATCCGCGGCCACCCGCCTAATGCCTCGTGCTCGACTTCCGCACAGGCTCGCGCGGCGCTCGCCGGCGGCTCTGTCGGCCGACGGCCGGGCCGGGCTCGCGACGCTGGCCATATTAAGCCGCGCGCCGTCGCCGCGCCAGCGCTGTCGGCTAATACGGCTTCCTCGGGCAGCGGGCCGGGCCCCCGGACCCCGAGGTCGCGACCCGAGGGCAGTCGGGTCGGGCCTCGGCCGGGCCCCGAGCACGATGGCCGCGTCGCCGCCAGCGCTTCCGGGCCTGCCGTCCGCCGCCGGGACCGCCGGCGGCCGGTGGAGAGCCCGCCGGCCGGAGGCGCACCGCCGGACGCTTCGGCCTGTCGGGAAGCTCGGGTCAGCTGTTGTCGGGCGCTGGCAGGAGCCTGGGAACGGCGTCAGGCCAGCTGATTTGGCTCGAGGTTGGAGTGCCCGAGTATCGCACGCTACCCGAGATATCCGAATCGCCCGCATTTTCCATCAGTTATGTACTGTCTGTGACGGACGTGTTAAAAGCCACCAGCATGTGTGAAATTGCAAACCTGCCAAATGCACGTGCGAATGCAAATTGTGGCTGTGCGAGCGGCCAGGAATTTGCACAGCAGTGTCGGCACTATCGGCTCCGCCCGCAGGGGCCGAATGATCGTACATCATTGCGAGAGCATGACCT